GAGCAGGGAGCCCGATGCGGGACTCGATCCCGGGACTCCAGGATCATGACCCGAGCCGAAGGCAGTCGCTTAACCAACTGAGCCACCCAGGTGCCGCTCAGGAAATGTTTCTAAAAATGAATGTCTTCTATTCTCTCCTCCAGGCATTCCGGACCTGAAAACCCAGGATGGACTAGTGTCCGTCCCAGAGATCACTGCAGGAGTTGTGAGGGGCCCTGGGTGTCGCCAGCTTGAGCCAGGTTCCTGGGCACTTGCTCTGTCACTGCCTGTGGTCATCCTGGACCATCAACGAGGAGGGAGAGTGTCTCTTTGAAGAGAGCGTGGTTCCTTATTCCAGACACTGGCTTCTTACTGTGACTGGGAGATAGCCCCAATAGCATGCCTCCTCCCAGAACGAAGGAGGGCGGGGATCCCCGAGGCCGACACTGGGATCCCGGTGAGGAGGAGGCCCCCGAGAAATGGGACTGGAATTGTCCAGAGACACGTCGCCTCTTCGAGGATGCCTTTTTCCGCGATGAGGATTATATACGCCAGGGTTCTGAGGAGTGCCAGAAGTTCTGGGCCTTCTTTGAACGCTTGCAGAGATTCCAGAGTCTCAAGGCCACCAGCAAGCGGGAGAAAGACCCCGTGTGTCGCAAGCACAGCGTCCCAGCCCTGGCTGACCTGCCTCGCACTTACGACCCACGCTACCGCATCAACCTCTCGGTCCTGGGCCCCGACACCCGCGGCTCCCGGGGGCTGGGCAGGCAGCCCCCGGAGAGAGTTGCCGAGTTCCGCCGAGCCCTCCTGCACTACCTGGACTTCGGCCAGAAGCAGGCGTTCGGGCGGCTGGCCAAACTGCAGCAGGGGCGGGCGGGGCTTCCCATCGCCCAGTACGGGAACCGCATCCTGCAGACGCTGAAGGGGCACCAGGTGGTGGTGGTGGCCGGGGACACGGGCTGTGGCAAGTCCACTCAGGTGCCCCAGTACCTGCTGGCCGCCGGCTTCAGTCACGTGGCATGCACCCAGCCCCGGCGGATCGCCTGCATCTCCCTGGCCAAGCGTGTCAGCTTTGAGAGCCTCAGTCAGTATGGCTCCCAGGTGAGTGGGCCTTAACCAGCTCTCCGGTGTTTCCAGCGCGACCTCGAGGCGTAGGCTGTTGCCCCTATGGTCGTATCGATGAAAGTTAGCGGAGCACTTCCGGTTCTTCGAGAGACTGATCTACAGATTGACCTGAATATGGTCCAAACGAGAAAGGCACTAGCATTACCCATAACACTTTCTTAAATTTTTCTTTTATTTTTGAGACAGTGCGAGCGTGGGGAGCGGCCGAGGGAGAGAAAGAGAATCTCAAGCAGGCTCCACACCCAGTGCAGGGACCAATGTGGGGCTTGATCCCAAGATCATGACCTGAGCCGAAATCAAGAGTCAGATGCTTAACTGACTGAGCCACCCAGGCGCCCCCCTCCCAGTATGACACTTTTAACAGCAAAAAATTGGAAATGTCCTAAATCATTCGTTTTTAGCAGCCATAAAAAAAAGAGTGAGGCTACTTTTTTATAATGATTTCTAGGGTTCTAATCCAGGTTCTGCCCCTTAAGAATCGTTATTGAAATTCTAATACTCTAAGCAGAAGAATACGTATCCTATGTAGCTCAGTGAATTTTCACAAATTGAATTCATTTATGTAACCAGCACCCCAGAAACCCTCTGTCCCCCACGTCCCCCCCATTACTGCCCTGAGGCCCCAAGAGTTGTCACTATCCTGAGTGATAGATTATCTCTTAGATTATGACAGTTGAGTTAAAGAGGAAACACCACAGATCAATTTTGCCTCTTTTATTTACTTTTTATAAATGGAATCAAAAAGTGTGCTCTCTTTGGTGCCTGTCCCCTGTCGCCCGGTATTAGTTTTGTGGGACTTGTCTGTGGTCGAGTGTGTGGGTGCACACTGTCCTACTGTTCTTTCTCGCTGCTGTTTGGTATCCCCTGGTGAAGACACCACAAGGCATTTGTCCCTTCTGCTGTTGACTGGAACTTGGGGCATCTCCAGCTTGAGGCTCTTGTGGAAAGGCGCTGCCATCAACATTCTAGAACATGCCATTTGCTGTCTGTCGGTACAGATTTCCGTCAGGGATATAGCTAGGAGTGTGACCGCCGACGCGTCAGATCTGCAAGAGCGTCTAGCTTTAGTGGATGCTGCTGAGCCGCTTTGCGAAGTGGTCGTACCCATCCACATTCCCAACTGGTGCTGTGTTCTACACTTGTTACAGTTCATCTTTCTCGTTCTAGCTTTTCTGGGTGGGTGGATCGTAGTAGCACATTTTAATTTGCATTTCTCTGACAACTAAGGGTTGAACGCGTGTATTGGCCATTTGGAGATCCTCTTTTCTGAAGTGTCTGTTCAAGTCTTTCTCCCTGTTTGTCTTTAGCGTTGTCTTTTTGTTCTCGATTTATGGGGTTTTAAAGAGGAGGGAAACGAGTCCTTTGTAGGATTTGTGTATTGCAGATCTTGTCTCCTACTCTGTGAGTTGTCTTTCATTTTCTGAATGCTGTCTTTTGATGACGGTGTCTTTTTATTTAAATACTGTTCAGTCTGTCATTTTCTTCCTGTGGTTGGCACTTTCTGGGTTCTGTTTAAGGATTATCCCCCTACTTTAAGGACATAAGGACATCCTACGTTTTTTCCTAAGGATTTTTACCTTTAAAACTATAATTTATCAGAAATTGATGTGTATGTGATACAAGGTAGGGTTAAGATCATTTCCTCACGGGGCGCCTGGGTGGCGCAGTTGGTTGAGTGTCCGACTCTTGGTTTTGGCTCAGGTCACGATCTCAGGGTCGTGGGATCGAGCCCCATGTGGGGCTCTGCGCTCAGCGTGGCGTCTGCTTGGGATTCTCTCTCTCCTTCTCCCTCTGCCCCTCCCCACTGTGCTTTTTTCCTCTCTCTCTCAAATAAAATTTTTAAAAAAGATCATTTCCTGGGGCGCCTGGTGGCTCAGTTGGTTAAGCGACTGCCTTCGGCTCAGGTCATGATCCTGGAGTCCCGGGATCGAGTCCCGCATCGGGCTCCCTGCTCAGCAGGGAGTCTGCTTCTCCCTCTGACCCTCCCCCCTCTCATGTGCTCTCTGTCTCTCTCATTCTCTCTGTCTCAGATAAATAAATAAAATCTTTAAAAAAAAAAAAGATCATTTCCTCTCAATACTGCCTTTAACTGTGTTTTGCCTTGGATGAGTGACCTCAGTTTCCCCATCAGTGAGGTGAGAATGGTGGTTTTTGCTTCTCACGGTGGCTGTGAGGATGAAATGAGTAGGGGGTGCCCATTCAGTGTTTACAGTAGTTCCCAGCAGAGTAGGGACTCAAAGAAAGGTGAACTATCCCCATGATCATTAATTAGTACATACGCAAGGCTCTGTGCCGACACTTTATGTGCATGAGCACGTACCATTCTCCCAGCATCGGGGGGGGGCGGGAAATGTCTCTGAGGCAAGGAACTGCTCGCCCTGAGTCAGCAGCACTAAGCGGCAGAGGTGACGTCCAGCCCCAAGCGTGCTGGACTCCAGAGTCTGATGGGGGCCGGGGAGCAGGGGCATTTGCTCAGATTTTCAGTTTGGGCGGGTGCGGGCTGGTGTTCAGGCGCGGGCTCCTATCCTGACCATCCCCCTCTCCCCCCAACTCAGGTTGGCTACCAGATCCGCTTTGAGAGCACGCGGACGGCAGCCACCAAGATCGTGTTCCTGACGGTGGGGCTGCTCCTGAGGCAGATCCAGCGGGAGCCCAGCCTGCCCCAGTACCAGGTCCTGATAGTGGACGAAGTCCACGAACGGCACCTCCACAACGACTTCCTCCTGGGCGTCCTCCGGCGCCTGCTGCCCAAGCGGCCGGACCTCAAGGTCATCCTCATGTCGGCCACCATCAACATCTCGCTCTTCTCCAGTTACTTCGGTGGTGCTCCCGTGGTGCAGGTGCCTGGGAGGCTGTTCCCCATCACGGTCAGTGCTGCTCCCGTGTCCCCCAGTCCTCCCACCCGGTCTCTGGCTGGCCTGGACCTGTCCCTTCTCTCCTGCTCAGACTCCCATCTTTCTGTGAAGGACATTCTTGCTCGTGCTCTCTCTTCTAAAGCTGTCATCTCCTGAGCATTTGCAATGTGCTGGGCAGGTGCTTGGTGCTTGTTGGAAGAGACCCAGCGAAGTAAAGCTATGAGTTCGTTCCTCTTATATAACAGTCCTGCTGGTCCAGGCTGCTGGGCAGCTCTGTTGCATGTGGTCATTCAGGGACCCGGGCTCCTCTTTTCTCCTGCTCTACCATCGCACAGGGTGGAGCTGCTCAGTCTCCGCACTGTTGACATTTTGGGCTGGATAATTCTTCCGTTGTGGGGGCTGCCCTGCGTGTTGTAGGATGTTTAGCAGCCTTCCTGGCCTCTTCCCACTAGCTGCCAGCGCCATTCTTCCCCCTCAGGGGTGATGGCCCAGAATGTCTCCAGATGTTACCAAATGTCCCCTGGGGGCAGCGCCCCCCCCCCCGCCCCCGCACCAAGCACCACTGTTCTAGGGAGCTGTCCAGGTCTGTCTGGTCAAAGCTTGCAGGAAGAGGGAAGGAGCCCTAGTCCAGGGAAAGGCCAGTTTGTCTTTAAGTTGGACGTGACCTTGCAGTTGTCTTGTTCTCATCTCCGTGCCCATCTGGTGCAAGGTGGGGAGGGCTGGAAGGTGCTTGCTCTCTCGCTAGGGGACGACGTGCCCAGGAAGAAAAGAGCAGAGTCTCTGGGGCCACTGTGGGCCTTGCACACCACTTGACACCCCCGACCTCACCCCGTCCCCACAGCGGTCCTGGGCAGGCCTGACTCCACACACGTCCTTAATCTCCCACCCCAGGTCTTTGGTTTCTCTGGAAACTTCTACCCTGACCTTTGCCCCCTTTTGCTCCGGCCTGTTTGCTGTGGCTCGCATAGTGGTCTTGTCGGGGATCAGAGTGAAGCCGCTAGCGTGGGGGAGCTCGCGAGGGCGGCCCTCGCCACAGCCCTGGGGGGCCTGCGCCAGGGATTTCTGCCCCTTTGGGGTAAAACGGAGGTTCAGAGATGCGGAGCGGCAGAGCCGGGACTGGAATCCTGCTGGAATCCCAGATGTGGCCCCGGGCCAGGCAGCTTCTCTTCGCTCTTTCGGATCCCCTTTCCCCTCCCCACCTGTCTGTCTCCCCGCCCCCCCACCCATGGGTGGCACTCGTGGACCCCTCCCGCCTGGCTTCCCGGTGGCCCTCCGAGACGGTCTATGCCTGCTGTCTTTGTGTTTTGAAAGCCACCCCCTTCCCTTGCAGGGAGAGTTGGTAGGAGTCCCGGAGTTCCCAGCACCAGGAAACCGCACTGCTCCTTGTGGTTTTGGGTTCTAAATACCCATCCGTCTGTCTTCCGAGCAGCTGTAAAAAAAAAGGGGGGGAGCATGCTGTCTGAGAAGTGATTTCTCTAGGCTTTTGATCCTGACTCCACCCTTAAAAATTCTGTTGTTGTTGAAGTTACCTGTCAAACGCGACGGAACGTGTGTGTCGCGCGTGGAGCTCAGCTAATTTTCACACTTCAAATACTTGCGCGCAGCCGGCACCCGGACTGCAGAACCTCGGACGTCCCCAGCGCCCCAGAAGCCTGGTTACCCCCATACGCTGTCCTTTGGGGACGTCCTCTTCTAACTAACTCGCTCGAGGGCGCCAGGTGCTGCCTGAGGGGTCCCCGCCGTCTCCCGCAGCCTGGGGTCTCCCTGCCCTGTGGCCCTGTGCTCGGGTGACAGGTGCGCCCCTGCCCGGGGCCGTCTCCCCGCAGGTCGTGTACCAGCCACAGGAGGCGGAGCCAGCAGCGTCCAAGTCCGGGAGGCTGGACCCTCGGCCTTTCCTCAGGGTGCTGGAAGCCATCGACGGCAAGTACCCCCCCGAGGAGCGGGGCGACGTCCTCGTCTTCCTCAGTGGCATGGCAGAGATCAGCTCGGTCCTCGAGGCTGCCCAGACCTACGCCGGCCGCACCCAGCGCTGGGTGGTGCTGCCCCTGCACAGCACCCTCTCCGTGGCCGACCAGGACAAGGTACCACGTGTGGCCAGGCCGGGGCGGGGGGCGGGGCGCGTCTGGCTGTATGGGAGGGGAGGGGAGGCCCGATTCGAGCACAGGCGTGGAGGTGGGAGTCTGCGAGCTGGGTGTGGGGAAGGGTCGGGAGGGGGCCGTCAGAGAGGCCGTCGGGTCACCCTGGTAGTTGTTTGTTGCCGTGTAACAGAGTCCCCCCAAACCTAGCAGCTTAGCGGAGTAAGTGTTCACCATCTCACATCACTCCCGCAGTTCAGGAGGTCGCGAGAGGCTTCGGTGGGTGCCTCCGGCCCAGGCTCTCTCCGGAGGGTGCAGCTGAGGTGTGGGCTGCCATCGGAAGGCTTGCCCGGGGCTGGAGGGCCCTCCTCTAAGAGGGCTCACTCACATGGCGGGCTGTTGGGTGGGGGCCTCAGTTTCCCTCCACGTGGGCTGCTTGAGTGTCCTCCCAGCATGGTGGCTGGCTCTCCCCAAGAGACCCAAGCAGAAGCCACAACGTCCTTTATGGCCTGGCCTTGGGCATCACGGCCCGTCATGTCTGCAGTGTCCCGTTAGTTGACCTGGGCTGCTCTGGTCAGGGGGAAGGTACTGGATGAGGGTGTGGATCCCGGGAGGCGAGCCGCATCGGGGCCTTTGTGGAGGCTGACTACCACGGTTCTCTGCGGGGGGAAGGGGGAGGCCCTTCACGTCACAGTCAGTCGTTGGTTGATTGAAGAAACCACCTTTGAACACCTCCTTAGTGCCTCCCCTTGCGCCGAGGGGGCTCTTTGGGACACACTGGGAGCCAAGATATGGCCCTTCCCCTCGAGTAGCTGCCGGTCTGTGGAGGGAGCTGGCAAGCAAGGATAATTTACAAATGGAAAAGGAAAGTTCTGGAAACGGGCACAGCTCTGTGAGGGCACAGTTGTGGTGGATTCAGGGAAGGCTTCCTGGAGGAAGAAACTTTCAAAACTGAGACCCGAGAAAGCCCCAGCCTAGGAAGCGGGCAGGGAGAAGAGTGTCCTGGCTAAGGTGTGTGGAGCATTGCTGGGTGCCGGCCGGAGTGGGCAGCTGTGTGCACGCCTGGCCTCATTTAGACCTTCCAGCAGCCCTGTCTGCCAGGGGCCGCTGTTACCCAGGACAGACACAGACACTGGGGCCGAGGCACTCGTGCAAAGTCACGTAAGTGGTGGAACCAGGCTTTGGAACGCGGTAGTTTGGCACCAGAGCCCACGCTCTTAACCAGAGGTTGCCAACTTCCTGTAAAGGGCCAGGGAGTACAAAGTTGTAGGTTTGTTTATTTGAGAGAGAGCATGAGAAGGGGGAGGGGCAGAGAGAGAGGGAGAAGCAGACTCCCTGCTGAGCGGGGAGCCTTACGTGGGGCTCCATCCCAGGACCCCGAGATCATGACCTGAGCTGAAGTCAGACGCTTAACCAACTGGGCTACCCAGGTGCCCCCAAAGTCATAGGTTTTGTGAGCCATTTCGTCTCTGGCTCTACTCCTCTCTATCATTACAGCAGGAAGGCAGCCGCAGACTGACCCAGGTGAGGCTGTGCTGTGTTAAAACTTGATACACAAAAAACAGAAGGCTGGTTCTGGCCCCCAGGCCTAGTTGCAGATCCCCCACTCTTGACCACTGTGTTTGTCTCTTGGGCCTAAGAGAAGGGCTTGTGCAAAGGGCCTGCGGTGAGAGAAAGGTGGGGCCCCTGGGAGACCACCTGCAGGGTGTCTGGGGTCCAGACTGTGATGGGGAAGGCAGGCCGGGTGGTACTGAGCGGTGGGCAGGCCTAGGCCGCAGGACCTTGAAGACCCAGTGTGGTGCTTGGGCTTTGTCCTGAGTGCTCCTGGGAGCCATGGGAGGGTTCTGAGCAAGGTGGGGAGCAGTGCCAGTTTGTGCTTTAGCAGATCCCTCTGCTGTGTGTGATCATGGATGGGAGACCAGAGACCAGGGAGGAGGCTGGGGCAGGACCTGGGTGGGAAGCGAGGGCCTGGACCAGGGCAAGGCTGTGGGTTGGGGAGAACGGAATGAATTTCGGAAACGTTCAAGACGTGCAGGTGTGGCTGGAGCAGGGAGGGGCAGGGGAGCCAGGACAGCCCAGGTTCCTGGCCCACGTGGAGTGGTGGATGACGAGCCGTCTCTGAGATGGGGACCCGAGGAGGAGAAAAGTGTTCAGTGGGAGGCGCTGAGGCTATTCGAGATACTGTAAGTGGGTGTGACGTGCCCGTGGGCCATCCAGGAGTCGTCAGGGAGGCCACCAGACACGGGTCAGCAAGGGTCAGCTAGTCTCAGGTGTCACCTCCTCCTCTGCCCCCCCCCCCAGGTATTTGACGTGGCCCCCCCTGGAGTTCGGAAATGCATCCTCTCCACCAACATCGCCGAGACTTCTGTCACCATTGATGGGATCCGCTTTGTCGTCGATTCTGGTAAGAGCTGCTCCCCGCCACCCCTCAGGCCCTAGAGAGAAGTGTGGGGTCTGGAGATGTGCAAGTGCAGTGAGGGAACTCTGGACCAAAGCAGGGAGTAGGGGGCCTTAGGGCTGTGGGGCAGCGGCAACATCTTCTCAGACATTCCAAGCTTGCTCCTGCCTCAGGGCCTTTGCACTTACTGTTGTCCCTGCCGAGAGCAGTCTTTTTCCAGATATCCACAGGGCTCACGCCCTCATTTCAGGGCCTGCATAAATGTGCCGCCATAAGAGAGGCCTACCTTGTCCACTTTTGTGATTCCCCTCCTCCTGCCGCTGTTGCTTTCCTTATGAGACCTGTTGTTCCCCAGAATATGGGCCTTATATTTCATATCTGTTGACCTATTTCTTTTCTGTCTTCCCAACTGGACCGTTGTCTGGGAAGTCAGCGTAGCGTAGCGTAGCGGTTGGGAGACGCTGGGGCCAGCCTGGCTATGTGACCAAGGTCGTGTCACTGAGACCATGTGTGTTTGCTCGTTTGTAAAATGACAAGAATAGCAGAGCCTCCCTCGGTTTTGAGGATTCAGCGAGCGAATTCTTCCCCTGGGTACTGCGGATGGTGCCTGGCGCCGAGCGAGCACTCTGTGTTAGCAGTGAGCTTATCGTACCGAACCTGGGAGCGGTAAAACATTGTCACTTTATGTACCATCAAAATTTTAAAATGCCGGCCATTAAATGTGGACGTGGCTTTGCTCTCAAGGTGCGCCCCGTTTTCAGAGACTGTGAAAGTGGACAGAGTTGGTCTTAGAGTTGATGAACTCTGTTCTGTTCAGCCCCGGGAGAGCAGGGACAGCGATCACAGCGGTGCCTCGCACGCTGCCTGGCACACAGCAGGTGCCTAATAATAACAGTTGGATGACCAGGCTGCTGAATACACAAGCAAGAGATGGGGGAATGAGGAAACAAAAGGCTAAATCAACGAAGCGTCAGGGTCGAGGCTAAACAAGCTCTCCGTCTGCGTCAGTGGAATGAAGGAGGCGAGGGCGTCAGGGACCGAGCGGAGGTGCCCCCCGCCGCCCCCCGTGGCTGCCGCACCGAGTCTCCCATCCCCGTGCAGGGAAGGTGAAGGAGATGGGCTATGACCCACAGGCCAAGCTGCAGCGGCTGCAGGAGTTCTGGATCAGTCAGGCCAGCGCCGAGCAGCGGAAGGGCCGGGCCGGCCGCACGGGCCCCGGGGTCTGCTTCCGCCTCTATGCTGAGTCTGACTACGACGCCTTCGCCCCCTACCCTGTCCCGGAGATTCGGAGGGTGGCGCTCGACGCGCTGGTGCTGCAGGTGAGGACTGGGCAGGGAGGGGCCCCTCAGCCGGGACCCACCCTGGGGTTTCAGGGCCGGGAAGGGCACGGGAGCTCATGGCTTCCAAACGTCCGAGCCCCCTGGCAAGGAGAGGATTGTCCCTGGGTCCACAGGCTCGTGGGAAGAACCTCGTGACTCCGTCAGAATGCCTTCAGCTGGGACAGAAAATCCGCCCGGAAGTGGCTCTTGAAACCGGGGTTTCTCCGTACATTTTATGTCCTGGCTCTTAGCTCATTAGTCAGCTTTGCTTCGATCAGGCAGCTGCGCCAAATGGGCCCACTCGCCGAGCGGCCGACACACAGAATCTCGGTCCTCGGGGTGGTGGGCGGTTTCTTTTCTTTGGGGACCCAGGCCCCTTCCCTGTGTGGCTCCGGTGGAGGGGAGGGAGCGTGGGAGAGGAGCTTGGGAGGGTTGGAGGGCCAGGCCCCTCCACTTGCCTTGCCCTGGTTAGCGCTCACACCCGCGGCCGCTGGGGAGCCTGGCCGGTGTGGGCTCTGGGCTCTGGGCTCGGGCAGAAGAAGAAGGGCCGACGGCTTCCACAGCAGGCTCCCCCGGGGGGGCAGCGGCCGGGAGCACCAACCAGCCCCCTCCCTGTGGGTGATGCACCCTCGTAGTTCCTGTTTTGTTTGATTTCATTTTTCAAAAATGCTGCTTGGGGCCCACTGTGTGAGCTCCTGACCCGTGGGGCCTGACCGATACGGACGATGGACCGTTTCACAGCGGAGCAGTCCCCAGATGGGGAGGCGGCAGGCTTGGTTGTTTAAGTGGGTCAGTGATGTCCTACAGGGCTCGGGCTCGTTCCAGCCTTTTCCATCTTCCGTCCGTCAGCGGCTCTTCCAAGCACAGTGATGGCAAAGGTGACGCTGGATAGAGAGCGCTTGCCTCGCACTCGCTGTGGGCCAGGCGCCGTCCTCGGTGTTGTCTGTGTAGAACTGTTTGGATCCCCGCAAAAACTAGACGGGAGGTTGTCTTTTTTTTTTAA